CTGCCTCCTTGAAGCCCAGTGAGGCCACGACCTCCGTCTGGCCTCCCTGCCTGGACCCAGCCTGTCTGACCCCAGCTCTTCCCCGGTGGCTCCCGAGACACTAGACAGCCCACAGGGGTGCTGGCCCCCCAGAGCCAGCAAGAGTCTCTGGATGGTGTGACAGGGGCCAGACAGCCACAGCCCCATGGTCCCTGCAGAGGGCACTGCCCGGAGCTTCTCTTCTCCCGGGCCACAGCTGAGAGCTGCCCGGGGCTGGACACAGGCCGTCAGGGACGCTCACCACTGTGCAGGTGGTCCCTGCACTGACCTCAAACTTCAGAGGGAGGCGGGAAAGACAGGAGCAGCTGGGTGGGAACATCAGCTTCCTGGAGAGCCACCCTGGCCTCAGGATGACCCCACAAGAGGGCCCTAAGATGCCCTTTGCCCTCCCCTGAGAAGGGGCCAGAGGGTCCCTGCATGGCCCTCAGCTGGGGTCCCCTCTCTCGGGGGGCCGGAGACACAGTGGCTCCAGCGGCAGGGCTCGCTCACCGTCCCAGTCAGCAGCATCACAGTCTCTGGGTGCCCAACACCACCCTTCCTAGTTTTACATAAAGGGAAACTGAGGCTGGGTCCCTCCCTGGGTAGAGCCCCTCCCAGGGCTGCTGGAGAGAGCTGGTGTCCACCACCCCAGAGGGGCCCCGCGTGCCTCCGCCTCCTGGTCCCCTGCAGAGGCGGCCTGGTACCGCAGACAGGAGCCCAGGTGCGCCCGAAGCTGCCATCACCCCCGCCTGCAGGGGAGCCCAGGAGCAGCCAGCAGCTGGGCTGCCGTCCAGACCCCGCCAAGCCCACGCCTGGCCCCGTGGGGTGCACCCACCTGTGCTGCTGGGGTCTTCCTGGCGGCTGCTGAGCCGCACAAGCTGCCTCATCAGGTCCTTGGAAACCTTCAGGTACTGGTCACAGTTGCAGGCCTGGGGGCAGAGAGATTGCTGAGGATGGGGGAGTCTCCGTCCATTCTCCCGCCCTCAGCTCTGTGTTCCTTGCAGCTCTGGGTCTGGCCAGGGTGTTTCATGTAGACAAACAACACATCCCTTCTCCCCACAGTACCACGGGTGCACCACTTCCTGGGAGTCCTCCCTGACTGCAGTGGCTCCTAGTGGACCCAGGGCACCTCTTCCAGCTCCTGAGACCCCGCAGGGCACTGCCATCACCCTGGCATCCTTCCCAACCCCAGAGCTGGTAGGGGAGGCAGAGCCCACACCTATGGCTGCCCCAACCCGATAGCCTGTCTCAGGAAGAGCCAGGGCCCTTTCAGTGTCCGTTTCTCTATGCTGCTTCCGGGGCCTGGCACCAAGTCTGTGAGGGGTCATTTTGCTTCTCTGTGGGGTCTCTGTTTAGGACACACAGTGGGCTCCTGTGATGGGGTGTGTGGGGCACAGGAGAGTGTGAGGGGTCTGCACCCATGGAGACTGGGCTCCCAGGCAGGTGTGTGCAGGTACCAGGGAGCTGGGCACATTGGTCACAGCCCTTCCCGACGTGGGACACCGGACCAGCTTTCAGGAAGAGGGTGAGCCAAGGGCAGGGCCTGGGGGTGGTGTTTCAGCCACAGGAGGGATGGGGCCACCCTCTGTGCTCCTGTGATCACTCCCGGCCCTTCCTGAATGAGCTGGGCAAGTGCCCTGGATGACAGGGCTCTGGGGGCAGGTGGGTAGGCGGTGGCCTCAGGCTCTGGGAGCTGCAGGGTGAGCCCACATCAGGGGCAGCACCCGCCCTGCCCCCACACACCCTTTTCCCACGGACCTTTCGACACCCTGAGCTTTACCTGTGGCCTCACTGCTCCATCTCCAGCACTGCAGGTGACCAGGGTGCCAGGCCTGGGGCTGCTGGGTGGGTGGGGCCGCCTCTGCTGGACCGACTTGGCTGATCCCAAGGTGTAACCCTCCCCCACCCCCCCTCCGAGGGCTTCCTGTCCTCGACACCCCACTCAGCCAGCCCCTGGCACAGGGAGGCCGCTGGGGGCCCTGCTTTGCTGGTCCGTCTAGGGGGCTCCCTGGGCCAGGAGTGCAGGCAAAGCCCTGGCTGAGGTCTGGCCTGTGGTCACACCAGGTCCAGCGGTGCTGCCACCCTGAGGTGCCTGCCTCAGGGGCCCATGCTCTCCCGTCCAGGCCACCTGTGGGGACAGCGCCAGCAGGTGTAGGAGGGACAGACCAGCAGCAGGAGGCTGGGGTGGGGTCCTCTGTAAAAGGTCCATCAGCCTTCCCAGGACCTGGGCCTGGTGTGCACGCCTGGGCGGGGCTGCCAGCTCATGCTGAGTCATGGCACACAGACAAACGCCCAGTGCCATCCACAGGGACCTGGCCACACCCTCGGGAACCACCAGTGCCGGTGTTCCCACGGCCGCTGCCCACTGTCACCCCGATAGGGCCCTGAGAGGCCCTGCCCCCACCCCCATCCCCACCCTAGGGCTGGAAAAGCCGGTTCCTCGCCTGCTCTCCCGCCCTCTGCTCTGCGTTTCCCATCTGCAGGAGGGCCTGGCACCCAGGGCTTTCCCTCAGTCTCCCTCCTGCTCCAAGATTCTGCAACCTTTGCCTGACCACCTGCTGTGGGGGGGCAGTGGCCACCCCTCGAGGGAGGCTGTGGCCCTGACCTGTGGGGCTCACAGCTATGTGCATCCCTGCCTATGTGCATCATGGGCTCCGTGCCTGTCCACTGGACGTCTGTCTCAGCGGAGCCTCTGGCCTCCCATTTCAAAGAAGGGGAGCTTCCAAGGGGCCGAGTAACCTGCTCAGTCTCAGGGCTCTCGGCTGGCCAGGACCCCACACAGGGTCCTTAATCTTATGCTGCCCTGCCAGCTGAGGGTGTCTGCAGGTGGCATCTGAGCCATGCCCACTTCCTGGGTGGGTTGTGCAGACCCCGGCCTTGGGATGCCCATGGGTCTGGGCAGAGACCAGTGGGAGGCCTGGGGGACCCTGGACAGAGTCTCTGTGCCTGCCACCCCCCAATCCAGTCAGGGAGCCTGAGGGCAGGGCTGGGCTGGCCACCACCCCCAGATCCTGGCTGGGAGGGAGGGGCCAGGTGAGTCGGGGCAGGAGGGGCTGGGAAGGCTCCTGGCTCCCTGGTCCCAGGGGTCCGCCTGTGTGCCTGGTTCCCACGGCTTGGCTCCCGAGGCTGCTTGGAGCCAACGCCCATTGTGCCACCCGACTCAGGCAGACCAGGGACAGCCTTGGGCAGGGGCAGGAGCCCATGGGTGTGAGGCTGCCTCCCCGGGGCTGGGCCACCACAAGGGACTGGTCCTAGGTACTGATGGGGCCTTTGGACCCACAGCCAGGCAGGCCCAACCTGGTGCCCCCAGGCCCAAGGAGGGTGGGAAATGGCTGCTCCGGCCACTTCCCCAGGAGGTGGGTCTTGCTGGGGGCTTCGAGAGGGTTTGAGGAGGGGCCACAACAGGCCCCTGGAACACCTGACCTTCCTCTGAGATTGAGACTTGGGGGGCAGGCAGCTGGAGGGCCGAGAGGGGTCAGTTCCCAGGTGCTGAGGCCTACACCTAAGAGCCAGACTGCTCTCTGCTCCTGGCCCAGGAATCCCAGCCGCACCTGTCAGGGAAGTGACCCAGCCAACGAGCAAGGTCACTGTGTCTGTCCTGAACCGTGTCCCCAGGAATGTCTGCTCCCAGCTGCCCTGGGTGCCCCCTGCCCTGGGTGCGAGGGCCACCTGTGCACTGCCTTGGTTTGTGGGCCTGCAAGTGTCTGCTGTGCACACACCAAACAGTGGGGCTGGTGCACAGGTGGGGATGGGAGGCCCCAGGAGGGGCCAAAGAATGTGGTAGATAGGCCGAGGTGGCCTTGGAGGGGACCGTCCCTCCCACCACTGAGTACAGCCGACTGTGCCAAGGCCTATCGCCACCTCTGAACAACCTGGGGCCCCAATCAGCCCAGAGCCCTAGGCCTCAATGAGGGGGCTGAGGCAGAGGGGGGCTGTGATAACGTGATGCCCTGGGGCCCGCCAGGCAGGAGCATGAGATAACCATGCTCCCAAGGGTGCAGAGCAGCACAAGTGGCCTGTCCAGGCTGGGGGCCCACTCCTGAGGAGGACCTGGGCGAGGCTCTCTGCCCAGCCAGCAGCGAGCCCCACTCTCCCTGCCCCCCAGGCCCCTGGCACAGTTGGGAGGCTCAGGCCCCACCTTCCAGATGGGAGATGGTGCCAGGCCACTGTGGTGTGGTCTGAGGGGTCTCCACTCTGTGCTGTGCCCAAGTGTCAGCTCTCCCCAGTAGCCAGTGCTGCTGGGGCTCCAACAGGGCCCCGCCCCCAGTGGGAGCCAGACCCCATGCGGGGGAGGGGAGTGTTGTCAGTCTGGTGCCCTGGGAGCCCGGGTCTGGGATTTTGACCCCATAGCAGGGAGGAAGGGAGCCTGGGCTGAGGAGCTGTGACATGCTCTGGAGTAAGGGACCAATTCTGGCTCATTTACAGGAAACGGGGAGACGGGGAGACCAGCAAAGCACAAATGCAGATGAAAGTCAACATCACCCCCATCCCAGCGCAGCTTCAGGTGGTTTCCGGCACCCTCATGAGCAGTGCCTCAGGTACTCATGTCAGGGAAGTGGGAGACAAGGGCCGTCTCAGCTTCAGGATAAGTGTTCCTGTCTCCTGGGCGACTGTTGCTCATGTGGTCCCTGCTGAGCTCCCCCCACGCACACCTGCGCTGTCCGGGATTGCTATCCTGAGACAGGTGGCTCGAGAGGCCTCTGCCAGCTGGCTTGTCCACCTTGACCCCCCTTCCCCCCCCCGAGACATCCCAACAAACGGTGCTGGGTGTGGGGATGAAGGGCTGGGATGGAGACTCCGGCCTGGGGTGTTGGCCTGACACCTCGCTGGACAGGGTAGGACCGGCCGGAAGCAATTAGATGCCCCAGGCCTGGGTCTGCTCTACAGCTCACTCTCCCACGCTGTCCCAGCAGCGACCTGTGGAGCCCTGAGCCATCTGCTCCCAAAGGTGAAGGCCCAGGAGCCTCCTCCAAGAAAGTAGGTCACCCAACTTTGCCCACGGAGACCCTGCAGGCCCCCAGCACTGGGTGCTGCTCCTCCCAGCTCAGCCCTGATTTCCCCTGGAGATGGGCTGGGGTAGAGGCCAGGGGACTGCCGAGGTCTGCGGGGAGGCTCCTGGCTGGGGAGTGGGTGCTGGCCTGTCCCCAGGAAGCAGGCTTGGTGCCCCATCCCTCGCCCTCAGCGCCTGAGACCTGGGACGGTGGCCCTGCAGGGGCCTCGCTTCCTGCGCCCCACCCCCAGGCCCAGGAAGGTCTATTCCCACGAGCCCAGCCCCTCCCCCACCGGGCCACTGCCCATCCCCTTTGTGGGGCCAGGACAATGTCTGCTCAGACAGAGCGGGGGATGGGCTTCAGGCGTTGTCAGCACAGTGCAGGTCCCCTGGGGGGTTGGGCTACGGGTCCTGCGGCTCGCGGAGTCCCCAAGGGGGCCAGGTCTGGGAACACGTGTTTGAAGAAAGTCAGCACTTGGCAGGTGTCTCTCATAAGTGCCCACGGCTGAGGGGTGCGAGAGCGCCCAGCATTGGAGCGGCTGAGCTTGCAACTGTGTGAGCACCAGTCAGGGACGTGCAAGGGCCTGAGACTTCCCATGGCCCCTGACCCGGTGTCTGTGTGAGCAGCCTGGGCAGGCACCTGTGTGCACCCCCCAGGGCAGTGAAGGAGGTATGTTCTGGGCCTCCGTTTTCAGGGTGTTCTAAATAACTGCTTCTCTCCGAGCAGAGCACGGCATTTGGGACTTTGTTGGCCAGGCTCGGCTCAGAGCTTATGCAGCCTCACAAGGCTGGCACCCCAAGTTTGGACCTTGGCCTCACAGGGAGGTGTGGGCCTGGCACCCCTGAACTGGACCTCCCCCTGCTGGGTCCACCTCCTGCCATGGGGACAGGAGGGCCACCTTGCCTGCCTTTCGGAAGTGCAGCCTTTGGCCTGAACCC